AATAGAAGTTTGATACCAGAGAGTGAGACATCAATGTGATAGATAAGACCATGTTGTTATTATTTGAGCATTCGGCTGCAAAAAGCCATTGTGTGCTCAGAGTTTGAAGAGATATATTGAGAGCTTGCAAGGTAAGAATGTTGAAAGAGGTAAAGACTTTGGATCCTGCCTTTTGAAATTTCAGAGGAAATTTGAAAGGATTGCGAAGACTACCAGAAGCTTTTGAGAGTGCATTTATAAATTTACCTAACAATTAAATATAAAATTTATTTAACAAGGATAATATGTCATGAAACATTTAATTGAAAATAGATTCTTTTCCATGTAACACATCCTAACCACAGTTTCTTCTTCATCCAACCTTCCCAGGTCCCTGCACTACCTTCCCTCTTCCATGGATCTACTCCCCCTCCTTCTGCCTTAAGAAACCATCAGGTCTCCAAGAGACAATAAGAGAACAAGACAAAATAAGGTACAGTAAGACAAGGCAAAAGCCCTTACACTGAGGTTGGACAAAGCAACCCAGAGAGGAGAAAAGGAGACCAAACAACAGGCAAATGAATCAGAGACACACTTGTTCCTACAGTAAGAAATCTTTTGCAATCACCAAGCTGCTTACAGACACAATATATAGGGAAAGGGCCTGGTACAGACCCATACAGACTCTTTCTGCATAATGTCTGGCTGTTGGAATCCCTGAAGTGAGACCAGACCACTGGAGAAAGTTCAGCTCCAGTTTCAGTGTAAGCTCCAACATTTTAGAGTTGCCAAGACTTTGAGATGACCAGGAAGACATGGTTTATGTGCAGTGAAGCTGGCCTGAATCAAAGAGATAAGATGTGTGTGCTGAGAACTGCAGAACAAAAGGAGTGGAGATGGCCATTTCTTTGAAGCCAAGAAGATCAAGAGTGAGGTCCTGGTTTCAGACACTGAGCAATATACACTGTTGGATTTGGTTTTGTTTTGCTTTGTCGTGCCCTGGTATTTTGCCATGAAATAAAAAAAATGTATAACTTGTTCAGAGTCATACTGTGGGAACAACAGACCTTGGCCAGAGACCCACTTCCCCTTCAGCCTGGGACCAGGCAGCTGTAAGACAATGTTTACTAAAAACATGTTTACAAAAAACAATACAGTGCCCAGAGCCCAGGGCAATAAGTTCCTCAAAAGGGCTTGCCCACGGGAATGCCCTGACCTCAACCTCTTCCAAAGACTAACTGCCTCTTTCAGACCCACCCACTGCCACCTCTGGTGTCAGGTTATATAATAACCAGCCAGAGGAGGAATAAGAGAGCCTTCTTGAGGAGCCTTCTGGTCTCTGTGACATCAATCCTGATACCCTCACCACATTCTCAGATACAGGTTGCACGGCGGGCATGGCATCATACAGGAGCCCACAGTAGAGAGACTTTTCATTTTAAGGAGATACTGTATTTTTAAAGAGAGCTCGGATTTTTAACATGTTGAAAATTTTAGACTGCATGATGTTTAAAGTTAGGCTATATTTTCACTGTAGATTAATATTAACATGAGCCTGGAGATGAAAAATAAAGGAATGCTAATGGTTTATATTGAAAGACCCCGAATTTATAGAAATAAAATATAAGCTTAAACAGGGAGGGCACCCCACTAGAGAACTTGGGAAGTGAGCAAAGGACCCCATCTCAGGAACTGGCCAAACCACAGAATAGAATGTATGGTTTAGCAACCTTAATTGCAGCAGGGCTGTAAAACCACAAAAGGCCAATTCCAGGCTGCTGGCCACCTGTGAAGAACTGACCAGGGCGTCAGAGATGGGCAAACAATATTTGTGGGAAACAAAGAGATGATAACACCATTTACTTAGGGAGAGATGATTAACTCATACCAAGGTTTGAAGAATTTACAACGTGTAGGTCAGGAACACATCTACTTCCCCCTAGTCAGTAGTTACGTACCCCCTCCCCCGTCACAAGATAGGGACCCCTCCCAAAAGCTTGTGGTTTTTGTCTTTAAAAGCTGATTGTAACTGAACCTCAGGGCCAATCAGTCTAAAAGCTGACTGAGAGGCCCATCTGCAGATGCCTAATTAAAGCTTCTTGCATGTTGCATCAATTGGTGCGTGGACTCTTGATTCTTGGGGTGACTAATCCAGCTTGGGGACCCCTCCTCAATTCGGGGTACCCCAACATTGGAGGTCCCACCGAGATTGTGTCCCCCAGACTCAACTCCACTGCCAATTGGAGGTAAGACTGAGCTCAAAATTTATGTTCTGTGTGTTCTCTCCTGTCTGAGTCTATTCTGGTGTGGGACCTGTATTTGTGCTCTGGGGGGGCCTGTATTACCCGGGTTTCGTTTTTGCACCTCAGAGACCTGTATTGTGCCCTGGGACGAAAGTTCCAGGGACCTGTATTGTGCCCCGGACGGAGGTGCTGGGGACCTGTATTGTGCCCTGGACTGAGGTGCCAGGGACCTGTATTTGAGCCTCAGATGAAAGTCGTGAGGACCTGAAGTGCCTGCAGGACCTGTATTTCGTGCCCGCACCGGAATCTCCTTTATAGCTGCGGCCTGTCTGTCGTCTTCCGTACTGTTTGTCTTTATTTGTACCCATGGGACAATCTCTAACAACCCACTTAAGTTTGACTTTAGATCATTGCCCAGATGTCCTGGACCGGGCCCACAATGAAGCGATGGAGGTCCGAAAGAAGAGATAGCAAACTTTCTGTTCTTCAGAATGGCCCACCTTTAACGTGGGCTGGCCTAGGGATGGTACCTTTAATATCACCATTATTTTGCAGGTTAAAGCTCGGGTTGTTCAACCCAAACCTCAAGGCCATCCTGACCAGGTCCCTTACATCGTCACCTGGGAAAGTCTGAGCTGCAACCCACCCCCCCTTCTACCAGGCTGCAGCCAAGGAAAGATCGAACAGCAGGAGGGAGCCGATAAGCCTGGGACCTCCCAGGCTTTCCCAATCCACTCGATGGGGGGGGGGACTACCAATACTGGCCCTTCTCCTCTGCTGATCTCTACAACTGGAAAACTCATAATTCTTCTTTCTCACAAGGCCCCCAGGCCCTAACAGGTCTCATCAAGTCCATCCTCATGGGATGATTGCCACCAGCTACTACAAACTCCCCTCACAACAGAGGAGAGGCAGAGAGACCTCCTGGAAGCTAGAAAGAATGTCCTGGGGGTGGAAGGGAGACTTACCCAGCTTCCCAATGAGATAGAGGCTCACTTTCCCTTAACCCACCTGGAATGGGACTTCAACACACCACACGGTAGGGAGCATCACCGTCTCTATTGCCAGACTCTGTTGGCGGGTCTCAAAGGGGCAGGGAGACACCCCACAAATTTGGGCAAGGTACATGCAGTAACTCAAGGTAAGGAAGAAACCCCTGCCGGGTTTCTAGAGTGCCTCATGGAGGCTTACAGAATGTATACTCCTTTTGACCCCCAGGCCCAGGAGAGGGAAGCTGACATAATCATGTCATTCATCGGACAGTCAGCACCTGATATATGCACTAAGTTACAGTGCCTTGAGGGGCTGCAGGACAATACCCTGCAGGACTTAGTTAAGGAGGCTGAAAAGATTTTTAACAAAAGGGAGATGCAGGAAGAGAAGGAGGAGAGGCTACTAAGTTGCAGGAGGAGAGAGAGGACAAGAAAGATAGAAAGCACAATCAAGAATTAACAAAATTTTGGCCACCGTAGTGCAGGAGTCTAAAAATAGGCCTAGACTGGCAAGAGACCTGGGAGACAAAGCTAATGCAGTCGGGTACCCTTAAACCCTGTCATAGTCCATGGAACACTCCCCTTCCTCCCTGTGAAGAAGCCAGACAAGGGGGACTAGAGGCCAGTGCAGGACCTCTGGGAAGTGAATTGGAGGACAAAGGACATTCATCCAACAGTACCCAACCTGCTTCCAAGCCATGTCTGGTATACGTGCTCAACCTTAAAGATGCATTCTTTTGACTCAGACTGAGCCCTCAGAGTCAGCCCCTATTTGCCTTTGAATGGAAAGATCCCAGGACCGGGTTCTCTGGCCAGCTCACATGGACGCGACTCCCTCAAGGGTTCAAGAACTCACCAACCCTCTCTGATGAAGCTCTGCACTAAGATTTGGCAGACTTCCGAGTACACAACCCCAATATAATTTTACTCCAATATGTAGATGATCTCCTTCTGGCCACAGAATCAGAACATGACTGCTTCCAAGGTACCGGGGCATTATTGCAAAGGTTGGGGGAATTGGAGTATTGGGCATCAGCAAAAAAGGCTCAGCTCTGTAAGAAGCAAGTCACCTACCTAGGGTATCGGCTTCAGGACAGTCAGTGCTGGCTGACGGAGGGACGAAAACAGGCTGTAGCCCTGATTCCCCCACCCAAAAATTCCAGGGAGGTGTGTGAGTTTCTGGGTAGTACCGGGTTCTGCTGCCTCTGGATTCCTGGCTTTGCAGAATTAGCAGCCCCACTCTACCCTTTGACTAAAGTTATGGCCCTCTTCGTATGGAAAAAGGAGCACCAGGAGGCCTTTGACAATATCAAACAGGCCTTGCTGTCAGCACCTGCCCTGAGTCTCCCTGATATAAACAAGCCCTTCATCCTCTATGTGGATGAAAGGGCAGGACTGGCAAAAGGAGTCCTAACCCAGCAGCTTGGGCCATGAAAGAGACTGGTAGCATACTTCTCAAAGAAACTGGACAATGTAGCCTCAGGATGGCCCCCATGCCTTCAAATGGTGGCTGTAGTGGCTGTCCTCACCAAAGATGCAGACAAATTGACTTTGGGTCAGCCACTCACAGTGGTGGTCCCCCATGCAATAGAAGCTGTGGCCCAACAGCCGCCTGGTAGATGACTTTCATATGCACAAATGACCCATTATCAGACGCTGCTCCTCAACCCTGACAAGTTGCAGTTCAGGGCAGCCATATTCCTAAATCCAGCTTGGGGACACCTCATCAATTCGAGGGACCCCAACATCCAAAGAACTCCTACTCCAGTTACATCGATGGACCCACCTGGGACATAAGAAACTCAAAGACCTCCTGCAACGAGGGAGCAATTCTATTATATCCACCACCTCAACAGCCTCCTTCAACAAATCAACAGTTCCTGAGCTCCCTGTGCCTAAGTAAACACAGGGCAGGTGGCTCAAGCTGCCTGAGGAGATTAGAGTCAGAGGGGAGCCACCTGGAATTAACTGGGAAGTCAACTTCACTGAAATCAAACCTGAAAGCCTCGGAAACAGGTACCTTTTGGTTTTCATAGACACTTTTTCAGGATGGATTGAGGCATTTCCCACCAAGCGTGAGGCTGCACAAGTGGTGGTCAAGAAAATCCTTAAAGAGTTCTTCCCACAGTTCGGGCTACCCAAGGTAATCAGGTCTGGTAACAGACCTGCCTTTGTCTCTCAGGTCTCAGGTGAGTCAAAATGGTTTTTTTTTTTTTGGTGGCCAAAACATTGGAAATTGATTGAAAACTACATTGTGCATACAGACCCCAAAGTTCAGGACAGGTAGAGAGGGTAAATAGGAAAATTAAAGAGACCTTAACCAAATTGACCATAGAGGCTGGCACTAAAGACTCTGTACGACTCCTACCCATGGCACTGTTCCAGTTCGTGAACACCCCCTTCAGTGCATGGACAAACTCCATTTGAGATCCAATTTGGAGGGCCCCCCGCCTATCCTGAGTACACTTCCCATAGACCCTAATCATCCCATTGACCCCCATCCCTCCAGGCCCAGTAACATGCCCTTCAACTTGTTCAGAATCAGATCTGGAAACCACTGGCTGCAGTATACCAGGCTGGAAATTCCACAGTGCCCCACCCGTTCCACATCGGGGACTCCGTGTACGTCGGACACCACCAAGCTAAGACTCTTGAACCCCGCTGGAAAGGCCCTTACACCATGATCCTGATGACCCCCATGGCTCTCAACGTTGACGGGATTGCAGCATGGATCCATTCCTCTCACGCCAAGAAGGCTGTGGCCAAAAGAGGTTCAGCAGAGGACAGGTCGACAAAATGGAAGTTACAGTGCACTCAAAACCCGCTCAAGCTAAGACTCTCACAAACTGCTTGATTGTCTTGTCATGCTTAATGCTTTTCTGTTTCCCCACCCCAACTGAGGGAACCACACATGCTCCCCAACAGCTGACCCTCACCCAAGTCTCGGGAAAGGACACATGCTTGGGAAATGTCCCCAGGTCCCACCAGAACCTCTGTAACCAAACCCTCCTACAACCCAAAACTAACATGGGCTCTATGTATCTGGTACCCAACAATATCAAGCTGTATCTAACAATGAGGCCCCTAAAAGTTTTATGATTAAAACTATGCCCTAGAGAAAAGGGAAGAATGAAAGACCCCAACTTTATAGAAATAAAATATAAGCTTAAACAGGGGAGGGCACCCCACTAGAGAACTTGGGAAGTGAGCAAAGGACCCCATCCCAGGAACTGGCCAAACCACAGAATAGAATGTATGGTTTAGCAACCTTAATAGCAGCAGGGCTGAAACCCACAAAAGGCCAATTCCGGGCTGCTGACCACCTGTGAAGAACTGACCAGGGCGTCAGAGATGGGCAAACAAGATTTGTGGGAAACAAGGAGATGATAACACCATTTACTTAGGGAGAGATGATTAACTCATACCAAGGTTTGAAGAATTTACAACGTGTAGGTCAGGAACACATCTACTTCCCCTGGTCAGTAGTCACGTACCCCCCTCCCCGTCACAAGATAGGGACCCCTCCCAAAAGCTTGTGGTTTTTGTCTTTAAAAGCTGATTGTAACTGAACCTCAGGGCCAATCAGTCTAAAAGCTGACCGAGAGGCCCATCTGCAGATGCCTAATTAAAGCCTCTTGCATGTTGCATCAATTGGTGTGTGGACTCTTGATTCTTGGGGTGACGAATCCAGCTTGGGGACCCCCCCTCAATTCGGGGTATCCCAACAATATGTGATGTATTTGTTTTAGTTATCTAGGAAAATGAAACCTCAGTCAAGAAACTGCCTTCATCATATTGGCCGGTGAGCATGTTTATGAGCTATTTTCTTGATTAATGACTGATATGAAAAATCCCAGGCCACTAAAGGTGTTGCCTATGTGTTAAACAGATTATAAACTGTGCAAATTGTCCCGGGATGTATAAGGAAAAAAGCTGAGCAAGTCATGGGTAGCAGCTAGTAAGTAATGCTCCTCCATGGGCTTTTCTTAACTGTTTGCCTTCAAGTACCTGTTGTGAATTCTTGAGTACACATCTGTCTGTGATGTGTTGTCATTAATAAACCCAGTAAACTTTTTCCTCTTCAAGATTATTTGTGACAATGTTTTATCACAGTAAGTGAGACCAAACCAGGACAAATGATATGTTTTCTTCAGGCCCGTTTCTTCCAGTTTCCCATTTTCTGCTTACTTCCACTGGTAACAACACTGACATCATGATATTACACCTCACTTTAGCTGAAAGTTATAGAGCAAGTTGACCTTCAGACATCCAAAAGTGTAAGCCAAAATAAATCTTACTCCTTTAGATTGATTTTTCTCAGACATGACTTTTATAGCAGCAATATAGGCTACCAAGCTTTTAATCCTGCAATTTCTTATTATCACACAACAACAAAGTGTGTAGGTCCTTTTCGTTGGGTCTCAGTAATATTTCTATCTGCTACTGGAATGTGAATTATATGGAAATCAGTGTCAGACAGTAAATACAGTCTCTTAGTATTAGAGCTCTTAATGTTTAACAGTTCTCTTAATAAAGAAAAAAATTCTCCTAACTAGAAAGAAACAAATATCTGCAACAAAATTAACCTCTAATGTAAATATAACAGAAGTCGTATCTGACACCAATGGGGCGATTCAAGTAGAATTATTTTTTTCGTGTGTCCTTCTTGATGTGCAAGTCCTGTGTATATGTCAATAAAGTACTGCTGGCCAATAGGGAAGCAAGATAGGTGGGACTAGGAGTCCAGGATGACTCTGGGTAGGAGAAACACAGAGAATCGAGATGTAACACCATGGGGTAGATAGCCTGGAAACTTCTCTGGTAAGAGACATACTTAGATTAACAATTATGGGATAATTACTTAAGTCAGAGCTAGCCAGTAAGAAACAAGCAAGGCCAACGGCTTCATAATTAATATAGCCTCCTGTGTGATTATTTGGGACTGATGCGGCTCTGAAATCAGGCTGGCAGGAAGGCTTCCCTTTACACCTTCTTATTGAAAATAGATTATTTTCTCATAAAATATATCCTGATTACAGTTTCCCTTCCCTTTACTCCTTATAATTCCTCCCTATATCTCCTCCCATCTAGATCCACCCCTCTAATTACCCAAATAATGGAAAATACAAATAAATGACAACTATCAAAATTCCTCACAACATGAATAAACAAATCTGACATAGACATGGGATAGAATACAATTTTGGGGGAAAACAAGGAATAAGGTATTGAGTCATGCTACAAGATGGATCAATCTCTCTCTCTCTCTCTCTCTCTCTCTCTCTCTCTCTCTCTCTCTCTGTCTGTCACACACACACACATACACACACGAACATACATATACTAGGAAAACATATACTAGGAAAAGTCCAAAATGAAAGTACATATATAATATAACTGTAATTATGTTAAATGTCTACATAGGTAAATCCACAGTGACAGATTCATGGTTATCAGTGGGCAGAGATTGCTAAGAGGTATAGGGTTCCTTTCACAAGTTGGAATGTGATGGCCATTGCCCTTTTATGAACATACTAAAATAACAACTGAATTGTCCTCTCAAGGTTGAAATTTAAATATATTGATGTTCACAGTACATATTTGGAAACAAAAAGCAAATAGGAATGAATAGTGGGTCACACCTCTAATCTCATCAGTCTGGGGAAGAGGCAGGATGAGTCAAAGACAGATTATACTACATAGTGAATTCTCAAAGAGCCTGAGCTACAGAATTCCAATGAAATCCTGTCCCATACAAATGTAGATAAAAAAAATAACATGATCATACACACATACACACACACACACACACACACACACACACGAGCTAGAGCAAGTAGACTCATAGATGAGTTGTGCAAGATTCACTTAGATGAATAGCCTGTAGAGCTGCTAACATTTTTTTTTATCTTTTGAGACATGGTTTCTCTGTATAGCTTCGTAGACCAGACTGGCCTTGAACTCAGAGATCTGCCTTCCTCTGCATCCTGAATACTGGGATTAAAGGCATGTACCACTGCTGCCTGGATAATCATTTATTGTAGAAAAATGCTTTACTATGTGAAAATTGGAAAAGAAAGGATGACAACTAGTGTAAAGGTTTTTTTGGGGGGGAGGAGGTTGATAATTTTGTAGATATTTAGAACAGAAAATGCAAGCATGATTTTCAAGGCTTAGGGGGATAATGGAGTGATATTTGAGGAAGAAAAAAATGAACTGAGAATCACATTTCTGGGCAGACTTCCACAAGAAGAAACTAGCGAACTGTAAGTAGGAAGAGGCAGAAGGCCAGTGAACTTCTGGAAACACATCAGCAGTCATGGAAACAGATAATTGAAGAGCAGCTGCTTCAGAGTCCTGGAGAACACAACAAAGGATCAGGACACCTAACAATGACCCTCAAAGAAAGGGCCTCTGCAGGATGTCTATCAGGTGGAGTAATGACTACAGGTTTCAAAAGCAGATATGTGAATGGCTTTGAACTTCAAAACATTAATGGTTGCCACAGATGTACATGATTCATGTTGTTCACAGATATGGCTAACAAAGGAAGATGATGGTTTACTTGTTTCACATAGAAATAAATTAACAATGAAAGTGTTAATCACCACCACCCTCAGGGAGCTAAAGTTCCTACCATGATTTTTCTGAAGATTATTACAATTTAGGGCACAATTGACAGGCTTTATGTCAGAGTAGCAAGTATTTTCTGTCTCTTAAAAATGTAGACATGTTATCCTTAAGATGGATGCTACAATAATTTAAATCACTTAACATAATGATGCTAAATATATGCAATGAAGAATAATGTTTTTCTGATTATTTATAATAAATAAAAATGAATAGTGATTGCATATTATACTGATTT